TACTGTTGTATCGCGTTTTTATACAGTCGATATTTTGAATGCGATCAAAGTCCTCGTGTGTGCCATAGTTGTGAAACTGTAGCTACATTCATCCAAAGTAGGCCATCGTAATTGCGTCGTTACTTCGATGCACAAATTGGAAATATATATTTGCAAATTTACGTGAACCATATCCGAAAGACCGTCGATTGGCCCTGTGAAAAATGAGCGGCACACTACAGATTTATGATAATCAAGTCTATTATGCCGGCGTGTCCATTTGCTATGTCCATTTTGAAAATGAGACGAGTTGAAACCGAGAATCTCTTTTAAATCTTTTTTAAATAATAATACAATTGTACATCATCGGTGTTTCCATTTGATCTATTCAAATCTATTGTATGTCATGAGATTTAACTCGTATCATGTTCAGAATAAATAGATCGCACACGTATTATCAGACGCTGATCGATTCTTCTTTCAGAGAAATATCCCTAAACTCTTGATCCCTGCCGCCGCAGAGTCCGTATCGATGAATCGTATGACGCAACATTGCACATTTAATAATAACATTGCTCGTTAATATACATATGTACAGTAGCAATATAATACTTCCTCGAGTTTTTAGTCAGTTCGTCCAACACGTCTTGCGCTTCTTCGTCAGTATTTAATTGCGATTCACGTAAATCTTCCCCGTATTCTACATGTAGGAGAGAGTATCGCTCTCCCCGTTCGAATCTCGTAACATCTCGTGATAATCGACGTGATAATTCCACTGTCGCGAATACAAATGTCAAATTTGCATCACTTTATATTTGGAATATCTCTAATACTAGTGAAAATTTTTCTCATTGTTAGAATTTTTATACAAATTAACACTTTTCAGAAATGCTGAGAAAGTTTACATTTTTCATATATATAAACTCTGAAATATTCTAAGATTTTTTAAATTTCTCGTTCTTTAATTTCTGAAAAAAATCTTTTTCAGATTTTATAAAATTTCATCAGAAATTGTAGAATGAAAAATCTTAAATATCTTAGAATATTTTAGAATTTATATACATGAAGAGTTTCAGAAAAGATGTAGCTCTGCCGACTTTTCCGATTATATTTCTAAAGTGTTCCAATTTATATAAAAAATCTGAGAAATTTTCTAAAAAATTTAAAATTATTTAAAAATTCTAAAAAACTTTGAAATTTACATAAAAATTATAAAAAATTATATGAAAAATTTTAAGAAAAATTTTTACGAGGGAACGCGATGCACGTCCAGTGCGTTTCGCCAAATTCGACCGCAATTCTATCACGAATCATCATGTAAACGACTCGCAATGTAAACGACGTGGCGATTTGGAACATTGTTTAGAAAAATATGCTAACTTCTTTCTTATAACTCGAAAGTTGTCCGTCCAGACTCTACTTGTTCGGTCTTCTCTCTGTGCGAGTGTAAATACTCTGCTAAACTAGTCTGTTAAACTATAAATTGGTTGAATCATTACGAATAATATTAAGTCACTCTTCAAGCTTCACGAATACATTTCACATACTATTTCTTCACAACTAGTAATTTTATGCTTTTGTCATGGATCGTAACTTATTTTGTCATAAGTAGACGATACAGCAAACTGCGATTAACAATTATCATTAGATCATTAAATAATTTGGTATTTTTGCACTAAAACAAATCGATACTGATCGTAATATATGTATCTTTATCTGCCGCTTCAACTCCCCGCGATACACGAAAGATCACATACACATTCAGCTTTATTGCATATACAGACTCGAAAAATAATTTTATAGCGATTTCGAAAAAAGAACTTAACTCTATTGTGTAAATTAACTCAGCTATTTGGTTAGCTATTCAGACAATCGCTAATTATTATCGTTGAATTGACATTCTTCGATGATTACAATGTCGCAAAGAATCAAGCGATGAGAGGAAATTTAAGCAGTCCTGTTATTGTTTAAATAAAAGACTTGAACGTCCTTACAGAAAAGAGATGTTAATAAAAAGTTCGGGATTGATAAGGAGCACCTTGAAAATTGAGCATGAACATGATATATTTGAAACAAATTTCAATATTCTTACTTATTTTTCAAGATGTTTCCTTTGTCACAAACTTTTTAATAATTTTATCATATTCAAGAAAATCTACAAAAAACACTATTTCTTTTACTTACATCGTTTTGGGCAAAAATCTGCCCTTTTTTGGAGGATATTAAAAAAGATCCGATTTTACTATACAGAAAGTAGTGATCAATTACTTATTTTGAATATTAAAAGCACTGTTATTCAGTACTTTTATTAATCAAAATAATTAATTTCAAACAGTATTAAATTGGATATATGTGAGAGCGGCCGTAAATAGCGTTGCTAAATTTCCTTCGATACCCACGAATTATTCTATGAAATTCAGCTTCAAATATGATCTAAAAGAGAGATGATATTTGCTTTTGGCACGGGACGTATACAATCGGTAAGCAATTTGATATATGCGTGACAATACAGTTCTTGCTGGTTTAAAATTCAAGCTCGCTCAATATATTATTGTTACTCTTTTCTCCCTTTCTGTAAACTTCACGGCAATGCGGAATTCTTTTGCCAATGTAACGGTAGAACTTCATCTTGCACGATGATCTCGTATGCGAGTGTGTGCACTTACGAGAATATATTACTATAAAGTATACAAAATATGAATGGCTATTTGAACAGGATAGAGGTACTTTCTCCCCAAGATTCCTTTTTACACATAAAAGCTACGAGTGATTTCAGCGTTAATTTGCAACACTCAAGCAATGCTCAGGTATAATATTCTTATCACAATATTGTCATACATCTCAAATCATTTCACTCTCTTCCTCTTTCACTAGCTCTCTTTTTAAAATTATCGATACATGAATTTTACGCAATTTTTAACAGACATTTTTCTTAATTCGTAAATTATTTAGAATAAAACGTTATCACGTACACAACAACGATAATAATCTGCTCGTTCATTCAAATCATTCTCGTAATCTTTTACACACACACACACACACACACACGCGCGCGCGCGCGCGCGCACACACGCACGCACGCACACGCACACGCACACGCACACGCACACGCACACGCACACACATGTATGTATATGTATTCATTCTTATTCTGTTTCTGATAAAATATAAGTTATGACATTTTTTGAGAGAAATCTAACTTTTCCGATATCTCCAATGTATAACATTCTTGTGTGCAGCGCTCATTTTACAGAGCTTAGCATCTAATAGCAATAAAGGAGTTATTGATAACACATTCTGATAGTAATGTTAATAAAGTATATATGATAAAATCTTTCTGTAAATTACTTCTAACGTCATTAAGAAATTGATGTATTATCTCTCCTGCATAACATGAGAGATGAACGGCTGGTCTATTATTCATAAACGATAATTGATGTGCATTTGATCGTCTCGATTATTATTCAATTATTGCGTAACGATAAATGTTTAAGAAAACTGTTTGTAATATTTGATTTGACAAAAAAAATTCAATTATATAAAAAAAACTATACAAAAATATCATTTTGGTAGTCCTCGTATCTCTTTTCTACCTTTTTTATGAAGACGTGAAGTTATATGAGATCTATTAACTATAATTATAATAATTATAAAATTATCATAGTAATATGTTCTGTGACTTGATTACAATAACGTAAAAATATAGTCAAAAATGAAAGAGCAATATATTATTCGATTCACGTCCGCAAGTAAAATTGTTAATCATCTCGATGCACGATGAAAATAAAAATATATACATATACTTTTCACCTCTGGAAGTATTCAACAAGAAATCAATATTTCTTCATAACGTTTATATATAGGTACAAATCTATGTCGTAAAAATTTTGGATCATTTCCCCTTGCTTTCTGCCGAATAAATTTTCTTCTACTCAAAGTTATTATTGTTAGATTTTCACCGACATGAAGTACAACAGCATCAAATAATTAACAAATAATTATCCGTGAATCACTGTAGGATATAGCACGAACGTAGATTTTGTCTCTCTTGATTTCAACATGTATATACGTATTCTGTTGCATAATGTGCAACAGAATATAAATCAGGATCTATTAAAGTTAATCATTGTCGTTATCACATGTATGACTTCTACTGCCATAAATATACGTAATGTTATCTACATCCATCCATAAAACTTATATTGCTGATGTACATAAATATGGAAATTCATTAATTATTACAAGATAGATTCTTGAGTACTTGAAGCAGAAAATAATCAGTCACTAAGCGCGACTTAATCGTGTAGAAAAATATGATTTTTATTAAAATCCATTCTACACGTCAACAATATAAGTTTTTATCGTCTCCAAAGATTGTCCTGCATTATGAATATTACCGAGAGATGTACTTTCTATGTTTGCCTTTCAACCGTTCGTACAAATACATATAATATGAGATGTCAATGAGAAGAATCGGCGTTTAAGTAACAGCGAGATACAATAATGCGCACATAATTATTGTTCTTAACATAGAAATATAGTATGGTCGTACAAAATATTCTCTGTAAGATTATTAATTCGTAAAGACGCAAAACGTAAATGGCATAAGTACCATTCAGAATCATTATAAAACTATGATACATATCCACTCTACACAAATAAAATATAATACCCTATTATGGATATGCGTAAAGGTACCTATGAAACCTAATGTGTATACAAGAATTTGCTTGGTGAAAACTATGACTTATGCCATTCTTATTAAATGCAAGATAGCGTGGACTACAAGAAATGAAAAACATACAAAAAAAAATCTTCTTACAACATTTTCATGTCATCTCCAAGTCATGACAACTAAAAAGTCATAATTGAATAACCTAAGTTTGATTGATATTATGTACAAGGGAAAAGGAACGATTTGGTCAGGTGGTGATTAGCAAGTCATTTGAAACACACCTGATTTGTCGAAAGCGACAAACGCCCTTTGGACCGAACAGAATTCTCACTCTATTCCTTTTTGCAAGGAGTAATATCATTAGCGTTACACGTAATTATCCTCAGTTATCTTTACGAGCCTTTTTTTTACTTTTTTTCTGTGGTTTTGCTTCTGTCCAGACGTCTAGAACACAAATTACAAGAAATTTAAATAAAATTCACAATTCGAAATAAAATCTCGTAATTTCTTCGTTAATGCAACAAACCTCCTAATTCGTCGAACACGGCGGTTTTCTCTTGATTTTCTACCACTTTATTTTCTTACACATTGTTTACTTTCTATGAATTCGCCGGCTTTTTCTGCTGCTCTTCCACGATAGGCTTATTATCTGTCTTTGGTGTAGATGGTACTGAAGCGGGTGTGTTCTCGCCTTCAGAAGTTTTCTTATTCTTTTTCGATTTTCCAGTTTTTTTCTCTTCCTTCTCGACTTTTTCAATCTGCGATCAAATGTTTCATTTATGGATTGTCAACAGAAAAGTTTTAATACTATGTAAAAGAAAGTTATACCTTGCTCTGTTCCTCTTTCTGTGGCTCCTTAACTTTATCTATTTCCTCGCTGGAAATAGATGTGAGAATCACTTCTTTTTTCTCCTTCTCCTTGAGCTCCTTATTTTCAGTTTCCTTAGCGATCTTATCCTTAATCTCAGGTTTCTCTTGTTCTTTCTGTTTAGCTTCATTTATTAAATCAGTCTTCTTAGAAGCTTTCTTGTTTTTCTTTGAAGGAGATTCTTCTTCCTTCTTCTTGTTCTTCTTATCCTTGCGTGAATAAGCTTGCTCCCAATCTCCTGTTATCAATTATTAATATTGACAACAATAGATAATAATTTAAAATAATTGCGAACAAAATGTATCTTATTTACTTATGCTAATATATGTAAATTTTACATTTTGTATTAACATAAATAGACAAGATACGTTTTGTTTATGCAATTACTTTGAGCTTATTGCAAATCAACTAACCATCGTCAAAATCCACTGGTTTTTCCTGGAATAAATTCTTCAAATTCTTCTTATTCTTCGTCTGCTCCACTTTGTTCTCTTTGCCAGCCTTAGTCAATAGTTGTTCCTTTTCCTTCTTAGTACCAACAATCTTGTTGTCTTCTTGTTTACGCTCTTTTAATTTACCCTCAACATCATCTCCTTTGGTAGCTTTCTTAGGAGCTTCTACTTTTGCTGCTAATGTCTTTTTAGCTGGACTTGTTTTCTCAGATGCAACTTGTCCATTAGCAGCTTTCTATAACAAAATATATAATACTTGATAAAGTTGTATACAATATATGACATCTGATTTAAAATTATTAAAATGTAACACAACTTTTTATAATATTGAAAGGAATATATAATAGTACATTTTTATCATTTATCAAAATAAAATTAAATATTAAATTAACATTTAAATTAAATGAAGCTTATATGCCCTTTATTATATTTATTGTTAAATGAAGCTCTCTTTTTTATCACATATGTTCAAAAGTTAGCACATTTAAAAATAGATGATCAAATTATAAGTTTTATTTATTATGCAGGATAGTCCTAAGTATTCTAAAAAATTTTTAAGGATAATTCCTCATATTTAATTTAAGATGAAAACTTTATACGAACCATGTCCAAAATGGCTAGTTTCAAAGATGTTAAGGTTGAAGGAAGACTTTCATTTTTTCCAGAAATGTCGAAAAACGATCAAAATATCTTGAAACTTTGAATACGCTTCAAAAGCATAAAGACTAATCTTTTGGGATTATATATTATTTTTTTATTTAATAAGAGGCAGACCCAAAAAAAGATAAGCAGTATCTCTTTGAAAATGAGCTATTTGAGACATATGGTCACATAAAAAGTTTTAATTAATTAACGAATCATTCTCAAAATCTCTTGGAATATTTAAGGAGTATCCTATATAAATGTCATATTTAGTATCAAAAAAGCTATAGGTATTTGAGTATTAAAGAGTAAGCAATTGGACTTTAAAAAGAGAAAGAGAGCAAATAATTCAGTAGAAAGTGCTGATAAAAAGATCCATTTAGCAGTGAACGGCAAGATCGTGTGAGCAATATCCCGGTCTGGGGACACGACGGGAAACGCCACGGACCACGCTGACAAAGCAAACAGACTTCGTCGCGGCGTTACGTCACGAACGACGCACGGGAGAAAGAAGGGGGGGGAGAGGAAAACAGCCACCTCGCGAGACCACCCTCTTGAACCGGAGGGACCAGCTGATTAGCGGGTGTGTATGCGTGTGCATCGACTCGCGCCCACAAGCGAGCCACCATATGGCGGGTGAACGCGACGTGTCTACAGAACATGAAGAGAAAAGAACATGAGGGGCGAAGGAGAGACACAGGAGAAAGGGAGGGAAGGAGGGAGGGAGGGAGGCCAGGTTGTCGAACGACGTTTTACTAACCTTTTCACGAATCTTGCCACGCTTCCTGGAAAGTTTCCGGTCCACGTCAGAGCCCGAGGAGAGCTGAGCAAACGGCGGCTGCTCGGCCTTCTTGAAGCCGAAGGCAAATACGAGAATGGCGCATATCAGCACGATACCCACGGGGATAGCGTACACGTATTGCGAGTGCTGCAGCAACAGGCCGATGTGATCCATAGCGACGCACGGAGTGCGTTGTTCGCGGTGAAAGCAATGAGCGTGACGACCAGACAACCTGTGCGCGTACCCGCCCCGCGGCAACAATATGCAGACGACGCACGGACGATGACAACGGTGACGACAACGATGACGACGGTGAACCAGACGGCAGACACGACGTGGCGCGCAAAGCGCAAACCAGATCGCTCAACAATGCGGCATGCGCTACGCGCGCTCTGGCGGAAGCGCGGCGAATTACCGTCTGCCAGGTGGCCGACCACCGAGCGCTGACGCGGCTTACGGCTGTGACGTATATATCGCGGCCACTTGCAACTTGCGTGGACTTGTAGCCACCTTCAGGCAGTGATGCCAGACTAGACATGCCCTGTACTCGCGCATGCACATTGTTTACAGCTTAGCGCGCAGTGCTGTAGCCATTAGGTTAAGTTAAAGTAACGATGTGATGCCGCGAAGTCTGCGCGCCAGACAAGACAACAGGAGGTGCGAAGAATCCCAAGAGGAAAATAGAAATGAGGTAAAGTATTTTAGGTCAGAAAATGAAAATCGCAATGGAGTCAGGAAAAAGGCCCACAAAAAGATATGTATTCGAAAATTTAAAAGATCTTGGTTAGACGAAAATATCTTTAAAGATTGATTGACAGAAAATGACAATAAAGCTTGGTGTAAAATTTGTAATATTTCACTTAAATGTTGTCGATATAATTTATCAAGGCATGCCGAATAACTTCTCATATAGATAATGTAAATGTTAATGTAGAAATTGATACTTCACAATAAGAGGTATTTCTAATTTCTATATATTTGTAATTCTATTTCTCTTTGGGGCGAGTAAGGACGCCAGTTTCACGAACGGATTAGGCGCGACTCTACTGGCGCTTTAGACTTCGCGCATGCGCGAATGCGAGGCATATCTGGCAGCATTCAGGATGCCGCGCCGCGTCGCATGCAGCGATAACTTCATGCGGATGCCGCGCGAGGAATACGTTTTTCAAAATAATATTCGATATTAAAGTTTAATATCGAAATAATAAAATTTAAATATTGGAAGCTAAATAGTCATGAACATAAAATTTTTTATCTAATTAAATGATTCCTTGGTGAAAATTTTTTTTAAAACTTCACACAATTTTTTAAAATGTAAATTTTAGAATTGCTGAATAATTTTATAATTTTTTTTATAAAACTCCTCTGATTTTTTAAATACATAATTGGGAGATTCTTCAAAAATATCGAAAAAGTTAATATTTTCTAAAATTTTTCGTATATATAAATTATGAAATATTTTAATTTCTCTAAGATTTCCCATTCTATCTGATGAAAAAGTTTAAGATATCTTAAATTATTGTCTAAGTTATGTTGAGTTACAGTATAATTTATTTTTGAAAAAATTACATATATATATATATATAGAGAGAGAGAGAGAGAGAGAATAAAAATTCTAGAAATTTTAGAATATTTCAAAAGTCACATATATAAAAAATTCTAAAAAAAGATGTAACTTTCTCAGTATTTCTGAAAAAAATATTTCAAAGATCCATTTCGTAAAAGTTCTAAGAAAAATGTTAAATGGAATTTGCAATGAAAAAATAAACAGTTTTCATTGCTAAATAAATAAAACTTTGCATAGATAGTCGAGTTTTGCAAAAATCTAATTAAATTTCAAAATGTAAAAATGTTAAAAATTGCAATTGTTCGATGATAAATTGAATCTTTTCAAGAATTCTTGAAATACAATATTTCCTCATGACTTGCAACAATATCTAGTTGCGCAATTTGACGGTAAATCGGGTAAATAGCGCTGAATAGCGCTGACCGCTGTACGTACTGTCGCTTGAAATATCACGTTGAGGTTATGCTTACAATCCGATATGCGAAATATAATACAATAACGCTGGTTAGTCGTTTAAGTTTTACACTCTACGCATGGTCAAACGTGATTGATTATCGTCGGTTATGTGAAAACTCAACGTGACCTCGTTTATACTTTTTTGTTGCTGAACAACTGTCGTAATATCATTCCACGATCGCGTACGTGTCATCCATTTCCAATTTGATTTCTCGTCGTCAATCAATTACTAATTTTTCCACAATGCTGGAGGGAGTGAAGCACGTGCTGTTAGTACTTTCAGGAAAAGGCGGTGTTGGCAAATCGACGATCAGCACTCAGCTGGCTCTTACATTGAAGGAATCAGGCTTTCGAGTGAGTGTATCCGAGTCTCCACAAATTACAAAAGTTCTGAAAGAATAGTTGATTCTACAATGCGTCGGTAGTTTCTAAATCTTATCAGTAAATCGGTGAAGTTGGCCAACAATCAACTTATACAACTGAGATTACTGATTTTCTTAGGATTGATCAAATTCGACTTTATTCCTTCCCATTAGAGAGTCGAGCTAATTCTAAACGACTCGATTCGTTGTACAACTAACAATTAGTCTAGTAGATGCAAAAACTCAGTCATCTATTTAGGTTAAAACTGGTTAAGACTTGAGATTTCTGACTATCGATTTATTGTAGAATCAGTATTAAAACACCCTGATAAAAATTTTTCTCACAATTTTTTATGTAATTCTTCAGAATTTTTTGTAAAAGAAAAACTAAGATTTTTTCAAAATTTCTGAATATTTTTATAATTTTTTAGAAAATTTCTCAGATTCTTTATATAAATTAGATCATTTTTTAAGTAAGTACTGAGAAAGTCTACACATATTTTCTAGAATTCTTCACATATGTGAATTTTGAATTATTCAAGACTTTCCATTTCATAAATTTCTGAAAATCCTATAAAATTTTAAAAAATTTAATATACTTTTTCAGAAATTATATAATAAAAAATTTCAGAATTTTTAGAATATTTCAAAATTCACACAATGAAAAATTCTAAAAAAAAACCATAAAATCATTTGCTCAATATTTCTCAAGTATTAATTTATATAAAAATTTTCATCATGGTTCATTTAATAATTATGCTTTCAAGTAATATATCTTTAAAATAATTTTATAACTCTGTTCTACATTGTTATTGATGCAACAAAAAAGTAAATAAATTACAATGAACCAGTTTTCTAATTTATACTTTTTGAAATATAGTCTAACTTAAGTAAAAATTAATTGATTAATTAAAACCAAATGCAATCCAAATTCACAATTTATAAATCCATAAATCCTCCTTAAAAAATTATATTAAAAGACAAGCATCAAGTATATTTACAAGTAAAATCATTTTGATACACTATATGTTCAAAAATGAAATGGAAAAATCGATTATCTGTAACACCAAATAATTAAAACAAATTATGAATTATCATAGGTTGGGATTTTGGATGTCGATCTCTGTGGTCCCAGTGTGCCTTACTTACTGAACTTAGAAGGGGAAGATGTTCACCAGTCTTCTGAAGGGTGTGTCCTTTATTACTTGAGCATTAATTCTTTAATAATAATTATAATAATCAGGCTCTATTCTGTAACTTTTAACAACAATGTCGATGTTGTTATGTGCTGTTGCAGTTTTTTTATCATATAAAATCTGCGCAACGATACTATAATGATATCAACATTGTTAATTAAGAGTTACAGAATAGGGCAGTAAGTATGCTGTTAATAAGTCATATGAATTAATAGATGGATACCAGTGTTTGCCGATTCAGAACAGAAACTATCTGTCATGTCGATTGGTTTCCTCCTGAAAAGTCAGAACGATAGTGTAGTCTGGCGCGGGCCTAAAAAGAATGGCATGATCAAACAGTTTTTATCAAATGTGATTTGGCGGGATATCGATTATCTGATCATCGACACACCACCTGGCACTTCTGATGAACACATTACAGTCATGGAGAATTTAAGGTTAATCTGTGAATAATATTATCCATGTATAAAATTTATATTTAATAATAAGTAAAGATCAACCAAAAAAAATGTTCAACATAAATAAGGAAAAAAGGCCATATTCGATCAAAGTGAGTCTTAGTGATTAATAATATTTTTGTTAAACTGGAAATTGTCAGTGGAACACATAGTCCTACACTAAAGCTGAAGTACGTAATATCACAAATTACATTGATAAGCAATCCAATAATACTGATGCTAATAAGCATCTTTAAAACGTATTAAAATCCAAAGAATTTATTGCAGAAATAAAAAAATTAAAAGATTCATACAAAAATATTACATGTTGGGAATAAATTCTTGCTTTGATCGAATATGGTCTTCTTTGTTCATTTGTATTTTTTTATTTTATTTTAGATGAAATAAATTACAATATTTAGGTCTGTTTTTTTATTCCTACACTCTCTAGACACATGATTCAATAAGTTGAACTAAAACAAGTATAAGTTCATCTTCAAGTTCAAATTTAGAGAATGCAAGAATAAAAAATAGACCTTTTTAACTACGTTATAAGACATTTGTGAACTGAAATTATTACAGAAATGTAAAATGCGATGGTGCGATAATAGTGACCACTCCACAAGCAGTTGCAATAGACGATGTTCTTCGAGAGGTGACATTTTGTAGAAAAACTGGTATTCATATAATCGGCATCATTGAAAATATGAGTGGCTTTGTCTGTCCTTCATGTACAGTAAGTATTCTTTTCCATTTACAATTGTAATTAATGTAAACAATTTAATAATAATATAACAAATAATTTTAAAAATATATATATTAAGAGTGTAATTTAGTTTTGAGGAGTTTTTAAGTTTTGCAAGAGATAGTATTAATGTCAGTGTTGTCGAAGACATTCCAATCACAGCTATTATTTTTTACTTTAATATTACTCCATGATATTTAGTTATTTACTAACAATAGATGCAATAAACATATGTTAAAAATGAAGCTTCCTAAAGAGAATTTTCGACATTGCTTTTGTTTTTTAATCAGAAGAAAATGGCTAAAGGTCATAGAACTCTGATAGAAACTTAGGATGATGTTGCTCCATTAATTAGGATGTAAATATTAGTTCTATCGATTCAAAAATAGTGATTCCAATGTTAACAACAAAAGCTGAAAACGCAGATTTGCAAGCAATATTGGATGAAAATCCAGCATAATCCACGTCAGAACTTGCCAGAGAATTAAATGTTGATCG